TCTACCTGTATATGTATAAACAAAGATGTGCACTCCACTTAACTAAACTGCCCTTACCATGGCCATATTTTTTTAATAATTTATGTCTCACAAAGAGAACCCCTCATTAGCTCTTAAACCCACCTTTATAAGTAGCAAGAATAACCTCACCTGACAATCCTGGCATACCTACTGGTAGTAGCTAGCTGATACTTAGTTGTGTTCTTTGAATCACACAAAAAGAGAGACTAAAAGAAAATGGAGGACCAATGTAGCCCTCTTGCCTTGCCTTTCTTCTTCTTTGAAGAGGAGGTAACTTCTTCAAGCCATTCTTTTCAATGTCCTTTTTTAAATGTTATTTTGTGGAGGTACATATATAAATTATCAAAGAGTAATAGCTGAGGTGTTGACAGGGAATTGAGGAGTTGAAGCAGAGTTTGCTATTCACAAGCTTGGAATTAGAGAAGACAATTATTTGTGCCACTGATGAGATCTCTGAGAAGGATCAAGAAATTTTAGACCTCAAGAACCTTTTGGAGGGAATTGTCAAAGAAAGAGATGAATTCAAAGAGAAATGCGGGAAGATAGAATCAGAAAATTACCTCCTCAAGCAGCGGCTGAATCGGCATTTCCCCAAACACCTGGTGGGCATTGCAGAGGCCGCCACAGGGCCTTCCACCGTCACTACAACGACGAGCACTAATGAAGATCAGCAAACGCCTTCGAACTCCGGTTCTGACTTGAACAACGCCGTCGCTTTCGTTACGCCGCCGGCGTCCGTTGACGCAACCGATAAAATATTGCCGAAGCTGCCGCTCCCGGAAAAGGGGGAATTCTTGAAGGCTGTAATGGAAGCGGGGCCGTTACTCCAGACGCTTCTTGTGGCCGGACCTCTTCCTGAGTGGCAACACCCGCCGCCGTATCAGCTCAACTCAATTGACATCCCGCCGTTCACATTGTCTCCCACCGCACCGCAGCGACGGCTGCTCCACCGGAAATCTGCCCTCAGCAGTGGCGGTGGCAAGAAGAGGGCGGCTGCAGATGCTGTCCGTGGCTCCTCATCATCATCTCCCTCAAAGTCCCGAAGAGTATCATCATCCACCGCCATGATCTCTACTACTTAGTGCTAGGCCATCACGTTTATTTCCTGAAGAGTATAATACTTAGTGCTAGGCCATCCCTGCGTCCCCTGCTCCAATTGACTTTTTTCAAAGGTGAAATCTACCAATGATATTTTTCAATACTAAATTATTTAGAATATGAAAATTCTATGAAAATATTTCTTATTCAAAATATTTTTATAAAAGGTATAAAATTTACTAGTATAAATTATATATTAATATAATACTTAAAATCATGAAAAAATTTCACTTTTGGTCCTGTGACTTTTATACACTTCCACATTTAGTCTCTTACTTTCAGATTGTCCACATTTAGTCTGTGACCATTATTCCCTCATCACTCTTCGTCCTTTCGGCCAAAATTCCGGCAAATTTAATACAAATTTTAGGTATGAAAAACCAAATTTAATGCAAGACTGATATGAAAAACCCAACTTTATATATAATTTAATGCAAAGACTGATTCTAAGGCTGATAAGTGGACTAAATTTGACGAAATTTTGGCCAAAAGGACGAGGGGCTGTGAGATAATGGTCACAGACCAAATGTGGACAATCCGAAAGTAAGAGACTAAATGTGGAAGTGGTATAATAGTCATGAGACCAAAAGTGGAATTTTTCTAAAATCATTGTACAAAGTTAGTTATAATTGATTCTGATTTAAAATCTACTCATAGAGAGATTTTTTTACTACTACCATAAAATTCTTAAGTTAGGGAAATCGGGTAAATTAGCCTGAACCCGCGCAAATTATATGGTGCAACCGGCGCACCATGAGGATGGTGCGCCCGGTTGCAAAAACGACGCAGTCTCCTTTTTTTTTTGCTTTTGATGTTAAAAATGATAATAACTTTTTAATTTTTGATCCGATTTTTATAAAATTTATATCAACATTTTTTATTTTTCATGATCTTTCAAATGAGACCAATATTGTGTATGTAATTTTAAGAAATTATCGAACTATTATATTAATGAGTATTGGATTATAAGAAAAATCGAATCTGTTTGGGAGATGATAGGCTTGTGAAATAGAAGATCGAATTTGTTTGGGAGTGGATCAATGGCCTCAGTTACATTTGATAATACATTGAGTTACATCTTTTTATGAGCGAGTTACATCTTTTTATAAGCAAGTTACATCTTTTTATAAGCGAGTTACATCTTTTTATAAACAAGTTACATCTTTTTATAAGCGAGTTACATATATATATACACACAAGTTGCATTTGACATGTCTGAACGTGACTTACATATATTTACACATAAAGTTACATATTTTTACACGTAAAGTTACATATTTATACACGCGAGTTACATATTTATACACACGAGTTGCATGTGACCTGTCTGAATGCGAGTTACATATTTTTTACGTAAAGTTACATATTGTTACACGTAGAGATACATATTTATACACACGAGTTACATTTGACTTGACTGAACGTGAGTTACATATTTTAACACTTAAAGTTACATATTTTACACACAAATGTTAATATGTTAAAATTACATAGGCAATATTGGTCTCATTTGAAAGATCATGAAAAATAAAAAATGTTGATATAAATTTTATAAAAATCGGATCAAAAATAAAAAAGTTATTACCATTTTTAAAAAACAAAAGGAAAAAAAAAATACAAACCGTCCTGGTATACGGTGCTCACCATATACCGGTTGCACGGTATACGCACTCCATAACCCGTAGCATTAAAATAGTGGGGGCTATTATTATTACCTTAAGGACAGTGATTTATGATTTATCACGTCCCTAAGTTTGGTTTCATCTGCAATTCCACCAGAAATTTTAAAGAGCACGTTGGTCTCTAGCAGGCCCAAAAAATAGGGAGTAGGATAATAAAAAGTTAAAAAATGTGGAGTCTTGAGTCTTCCGCTCAAAATTCTGGATAGCAACTGGATAACAAACGTACATGACTCGTGTTAGTGACTTACTGCTACATTATTTTTTAAAATTATATGAATGGAATTTGTTTTCAAAAAATTACAAATTAATTGCTTAAGATATTAAAAGAATTTTTTTCCTTAAATATTATATTACGGACAAAGATATTACTATATTGGTCTATTATTTTTTAAATGTATTATTTTATAGTTTGTTGCATGATGGTGATGCGTTTTTTATGCTTATTACTAGTAACTTTTGTCTTTATATAATCTAAAAAATTTATTGATGGAATTCCAATGGTGGAGGTGGCCGGAAAACCGAGTGACATTGAGTATGAATTCGAGTAACAACAAGTTTGCATAGAGAATTTCGGATCTCTTTCAACAAGTTGGAAGTTGATATTGGTACAAAACTGTAATACTTGGGCAACAAGTATAAAAGATGTCATTCTAAGGAGATCACGACACATGTAATATTTGGCCAACTTGTCGAATATGTTAGTCTAATTACACGGTAACACGTGTGGAGCTTGATTGGTGAGATGATACGGACAGCTGACCGATTGGTACGGCGCTAACTAACTTAATTCCCTTCGTTCTGGACTCTGTAAGGGAGTAACACGTGAATGCCTAGAACCTTATGTGAATAATTGTCTGGGTGATGTCAGCCCTAGACAATTGTTGTGTTGATGACGTCATTATTGTTGTGCATGCAAAACTTGAATCTTGGAAATGGTTAAGTCCATAAACTTCCTCGAGGTCGTGGGCTCTGTTGGATTTAAGCTCGAGAATAATGTATTCACCTAAGGAGAAGTTGATCTCAGTTTGCTTAATTGATTCTCCTTTTAGCTCTTTAATTAACTCTAGAGGCGGTTTAATTGACTCGAAGTTCACCTATAACGTTGACTTTGGCGTAGATCCAAAACATGTGGCGAGCTCGAGCTCAGCTGCAGTTTTGGACTTACTTTGATAATCTGAGGGTTGACTTTGGAGCCGAGCTCGAGGGACATGGGCTTGGGCTCGGATGCGGATATGCACTTATCTCGATGATCATGAACTCATTCAGGGAGCCGACCTTGGCGGCACGGGCTCTCGCTCAGCGATTAGTTAGTTGGTACTTAGTGATTTCAGGAAATTGTTCACCCATAAATGTTGATACTCCTCGGATATATGTGAATATACTCCATTTATATTGACGAAATAAATAAATGTTCATCTCAAATTTTCAACGACACGGAATCGATATTATGTACCAATCTCGAACCAGTCGAGAAAGGGATGACATGTATTTGCACATTTAATAGAAAAAATTTCATTAATACTACTCTTTTATTTGATAGAACAAAAACATTACTCCGTACTAAATAACTCTTGGTGATTATAATTGTGTTCAAATTTACATCGTTGTAATTGTATGTAAGTTACTGCGATGTAAACTTTGAGCACAATTATATTAACTAATAGTTACAAAGTATTCCCCCCGTACTGAGCAAGTTCGTCAAATTAACTTTTCTTGGTCAATCATAATCAACTTTGATTAATGATATTTTTAATATGAAATTATTTCGAATATGAAAATTATATCAAAATGTTCCTTATTCAAAATATTTTCACAAATATGATAATTAAAATCATTGCCCAAAATTTGTCAGCATTGACAAAAAAAACAATATGGCAAACCTTTTCGGAACGGAGGTAGTAATATTTATGTCCATGACTTTTTTATTATACGTAGTAATATTTAAGGAAAAAAACTCTTAACATTTTAAGCAATCAATTTGTAAGTTTACATTCCATCCATATAATTTTGTTTTGAAAGAAATTATATTCATATAATTTTAAAAACAATGTAGCCGTAAGCCAGTAACATAAGACGTGTCATGTACGTATGCTATACATACGCAGTATATGTTAGCTTAGATGATTTATGAATTTTGAGATCTCACACCAAACAATGTAGGATTACTTTTTAGAGAAAAGTGTCAAATAACCTCCCTTACTATAAAGAAAATGTCAATTAAGTCCACGAACTTAAATATCGTCCAATTAAACCCATCAACAATAAAAAAAGAGGCAAATCATCTTTCTAGTAGGTATTCTTCCGGTTCCCGGTTGAAATCACGTTTGTGGCATCTGATGTGGCATAACTTCATTTTCTTTCCTTTTTTCTTTTTCTTTCCTTCCTTTTCTTCTTTCTTTCTCAATCCCCTTCTTCTCTGCACCTGCTACTTCTCCCCTCATTTTCTTCTTTTTTCATTCTTTCTCTTTCTCGTCCTTTTCTTTCTCTTCCCAGACCTGTTTCTTCCTCTCACGGTCGCACCCATCTGGTCAACCTTTCCTCTAAATCCGAGCAGCAGAGTCCTCCCAGCCACCGCTAGCCATGCTCGCCTGGTACATGGTCTCCAGATTTAGACCCAAATCGACACCACAACTCCCCATCGTGTGCTACGCTTGCATCGTTCGTCGTATCCATCCTTGTATTGCGACGGGAGATACAAAATCGACGGAAAAGAAGATGGATCGAACCTGGCCGGAGACCTCGTTGCGGAAGACGATGAAGTTAGTTGTCCAGAAGTATATTACGATGGGACGAAACAAAAAGAAAAAATTAAAATCAAAAGCCAACCAAAGCTTACCTGGGATTCTTGGAGCGGATGAGAAAGCTAAAGAGGGCCGGCTAGAGGAGAAGACCGAACGAAATAGGGAGAAAGGAAGAACCAGAAAGAAAAAAAAAAGATAAGGTGTTCCACGTACCGCCACATGTCGCCATGTGTCAAAATTTATTTAGTAACTTGTTGGTTACCTGATAAAAGCTGTTTTCAACGTTTTTTCATAGTTCAGGTGTTTAATTGGGCATTTTTTGAGTTCGAGGACTCAATTGACATTTTGAGTATAGTAAGAGGGCCTATTTGACACTTTTCCCTACTTTTTATTATCCTACTCCGTATTTTTTGGGCGTGCGAGAGACCAACTTGCTCGTTAATGAGCCTGTCACGGGTTCTTTAAAATTTCTGGCAATTCCACAACTTTAATTTCTAATACTTTCTTGAAACTCCTAATATATATAGTACCTATTAGCAATCCGAAGTAGATATGTAAACGAATCGAATAATTTTGATTCGATTCGTGATTCGAATTCGAAAATGCCGATTCGAATTCGAGTAAGTAGAATACGAATATGAATACGAATACGAATCCATTTTTTGATTCAAATTCGTTACAAATACGAATACAAATACTATGATATTCGATTCGAATAATATTCGAATATATTCGATTTATATATATTTATATATTCATACAGTATATACTACTTCTTATGAATACATATAGTTCGATGTAAAAATATTAATAACAAAATATTCATGTAAATATTTTGCATATTTTAATTTAAAAATTCTTACTTGACGAGGTCAAAATAGCTTTTTCTACAATTAAAATTCTCCGTTGATTTATCTATATCAATATTAAATTTGAAGTGACTTCTATAAATGAATTTTGTTTCGTATAAAATATGTAATATGAAAATCAATTAAAAGGGGCAAACTAACATCATAATTTTAATTATTTTCACAAATTAACTTTAATGTTTTTTGAATTCGAATATTCGAATTCGATTCGAAAAAGATTCCAATATATCAAACGAATCGAATACGAATACAAAATAAGATTCGAATTTTAAACGAATACGAATACGAAATTCAATAATTATACGAATACGAATAATATTATCAAGTATTCGGTTCGATTCGATTTGTTTACAACCATAATCCCCCGACGTTTGATAACTCAAATAAACCTGTATACTTTTAATGAATGTATATATATAGGTTTACTTTTGCAAAAAACTTGTATGTATGTATATATATATATATATATATATATATATATATATATATATATATATATATGGGAAGTTTCAGGTGAGAATGATGTCCCAAGAGAGAAAAAAGAATGAAATTTATCCATCAAAAATCTAAAACCGAAGGCTAAGATTGAATATAAATTAATTGTGGTAGCATGGTAATTAAGATGACGTTTGAAGGGTTATTATAATGGTAAAAGAAACCGTTTAACACTAAGGGAAGATGTGTAAAACTCACGGCCAATTAATTTGGATAATAAATGATGGCCACTCAAATTTCCATATAAATAGGATCAAAGCATTAAATGTTGGACAATCTATTAATACGGACCACTCTTTTCATTGCATAGTTGACTTATTTGGCTTATGTGTGTTATTTTAAATAATAAATAGATGCAATCAAAATATTATACGAAGTATGAAATTTGTCGATTGCATGGATCGATGCACAATTAATTATATAAATTTGCACTTTCGAGTGATGAAGGTTACACCCACTGTTTCTAAACTAATGCAGTGAAGAAGTAGGATCAATTTTAATTGATTTCAATATCTTATTAAGTTCTCTTTCATAATAGTATTAGTCTGCACTTAACCTTCATATTAATTTGTGTACTTTCATATATTCAAAATAAAAATAAAAATTAAACAAAAATTTATATAAATATACATGGATATATGCAATTTATCTACTATAATGTGCATTTAAATATATGCAAAAGTGCATTATTAGTGACACTTTATAAAATTCTATATTGATACTTGTATGTCATTAGTTTGCACCTTGTACACATTATGTTGCACTTTATTTATAAACTACTGCCTATAAGAGTTGTGCACACTCATATATATAAGAGTTGTGCAAACTATCAACTAACAAGAGCACTTTAAATATATATAAATGTGCACGATCATACTTTCAGAATTACTTTAGCACTCTTAATTATGTAAAATGAAATGCACTTTTATCACGTGCATCTTAAATATATTCAAAAGTGTGTTATTATATTAAACTTTCTGAAATAAAGTGCATTACTTCTACTTTGAGAGTGAATATATATGTACGTCCCTATTATGCACTAAAAATTCAGTATATAAAAAAGAAGCAACGTACTTCAACACAATGCAACAAAAATATCTAAGAATCCTAATTCAAAAACAATAAGTAAATTTAAAAGTTTCGTGTAAATGATCATGATTATGAATAAAATGCAATACATTTTGTGGCAAAATAAAACACAATACAATCGACATACACACATGTTATCAAAGTGCATAGAAGAATATACTAAAAAACTAAAGATAGACGATGGTGGAAAATTAAAATACAATCAAATAGAAAATAGAAAAATAAATTAAATAAAGATTAATTAAAAGTAATATGACAAATCTTATCAAAAGAAAAAAGATATCAATACAAAAACACACTCACACGTAAGTCAATTAACTAATTATAAAGATGTGGCATTAATTGCATGCAGTGATTGATACGGAGTATATTAAATATAGAAATATTCGTAAAAAGACCAAAAGACCCTATAAGTGTATACACGATCCATTGAAAAGAATTGATGATCTAAGGGTTGTGATTAATTCTCACTTGAACCTAAATCTATATATATATATATATATATATATATATATATATATATATATATATATGGTGCTGACTTATAATACTTTTGCAATAATAGGCGTTATCTATTGCTTTTTGTGACTTTGCACATGCAACGTGCACTTGCAATGATGCACATGTCATATACACCTTCATAAAAATTTGTGCCTTATCTTTAACTTGAAAGTATATATGCAAGTTGCCGTTGCAATTTTTAACAAACTATGATGCACATTTGTTGTTAACATAATGGACTTCTTCAAAAAGTTGAAGAACGAGGTCATATATATTGATTTTTTATCAAATTTGATTCTCGTTTTTGCGATTTTGTAAAGTTTTTAATGTAGTTTCTGAATACTACTTCCGTCCCGCTAAGATTGTCTCATTGAAACTTTTCGATCCGTCTCACTAAGATTGTTTCATACCAAATTTGGTAAAGTTTGTGTGACTCTAAATCATTCTTATTTTATTCTTTATCAATTCAATATCACCACATAAACCACTTTTTATTGATTTGAGTGTCACTCCCTTTTGTCATATAGTTAGCGGGACGGAAGGAATACATAATACTTTTTCCTACAAATAATTTGTGTGCGGACAAAGATTCATTTGATTTATCGTCAATCAAGCATGGTGAATCGCAACGTGAACACAACACTGGGACAAAGGAATAACATACGGATTCATTTGATTCATTTTTGTTTCCGGTGTACCCCTCCGATCGATTGTCTATAATAGCTTGACACGAGGGATTCAACCCATTATAGAAAGTGTCGATTAGGAGGTCAAGAGGGATTCTATGATGTGGGCACTCCCGAAACAATGACTTAAAATGCCTCCACGCATCTTGGAATATCTCTCCAACTTGTTGTTTAAAGTTGAAGATTCGTTGTCTCAACTCTTGTGTCATTGTTGGTGTGTAGTATTTGAAGATGAAGACGTTGTAAATACCTTCCCATGTAGCGTAGATCGCAGGTGGTTGTTCAAGAAACCACCCTCTTGCCACCCTTTCAGGTGTAGGGAAAACATTTGAGTTTGAGACCGTCTTCGGTGAGCCCATGTCTAGGGATTCCTTGAATGAAACCGTAGAACTCAGTGATGAAGTTGAGTGGATTCTCCCCCGGATGAGCAAGAAATTGAGGCATAGCATGAAGTTGAGTGGATTTTTCATTTCATAGTCTCGTACTCTCGTGCTGCCTCGCTTAAATTAGGACAATACATGATGGGGTGGCAGCAACAACTGGCATCTTCCTCTCGTTTAATGTGGGCATCATCTTTGTCGTTCAAGTGTTTTTGAGGATGCGTTGCACGTTCTCTCGATTTCAAGGTAAAGGGTTCCAACGTTCTTAGACCCCTGATTTCTTAAGAGCATGCAAACACAAGGAATTTTCTGCAAAACTAAACTACAAGAACAAGTGAAATGCAAATTGTGTATGGTTGTGTTTTTTTTAACTTTATAAAAATCAAATGTTTCCTCGGCAACGGCGCCAAAAACTTGATCGGGCTAAACTTGCAAGTATACAAGTGCCGATGTAGTAATAAATTTCGATAAAATACCGGGACGAATCCACAGGGAAACGTCGTTCTATAAAGTTTGGTTTTGAGAATTAAAAGAGAGAATAAAAGTAATTAAAATGCAGGGATTTTTGTTTGTTTAAGTGAATATATGATAAAATGACCAAGGCATCGGGATTCACCCAAACGTTAACTAGAATTCAATTAAAGTTCTTTGTCAATTTTTATGAGTACGGTATCGCTATTATATTCCCGACTCCAGTTAAGGCAGTGAGGGCGTGGTTTTCGCTACGTGTGAGTCCCGTTACGGCTCAAATTCATCTAGAGAAAACCCCGTTGAATATTAAGATACCACACACGCACCATACAAGATCGGGTATATTTCTATCCTCAATACTTTGTATGTTTATTCTTCTAGAGGACGGTTTATATTGCAACGTTGATTGACCATATAAACCTCAGGATGTTATGCAACGTAATTATATATAATTAGTTTAAAGAGAGTAAAACGCGAATTACTTCTTCTAGTGTTCAATTGATATTTCAACATCAGTTACTTCATATCAATACATGTATTATACTATTATGTTGCATAACATTTATGAAAAATTAAACATAAGAAGAATAAATCATAAAATTTGACTTGGAACAAATATCAGAAACTAGCGGGCGTAGAGGTTCATCCTGAGCCTTGGCTTAAGGAATTAGCCTTTAATGCTCATATTAATCAAAATTACAATACTTTGAATGTAGAAGAAAATGTAAATATGAAGGAAATATTACCTAAACATAAATAGTTGGGAGAAATGAGCTTCCACACCTCAAGAACACCATGAAGAACAAAGAAAAACTATAAAAACTGGTTATTAACTAATGAATTAAATTGATATTAGATGATGAATTTGGGATGAATTGGAGGGTTTATATAGTCTTGAAAATGATCTTTGATGGTCTATGCATGATCCTCAATCAATTTGGGACGAAATTTCCGAGCCATACCTTCAAAATATCTTCAAATCAACTCAAAATATTCAAGCACGTTGTCTAGTTTTCTGCAGATTTGGGGTAACCGGTGCCGGGTGGGGTTAACCGGCACCGGTTATGTTTCGGCAATTCCGGCGTCGCAATTTTTACAAGCAACCGGCGCCGGTTTGGTGCAATTCCGGTGCCGGTTTGGTGCAATTCCGGTGCCGGTTTTGTCCGGGGATTTTGGGGGTGTTCCGCTACGAATTTGGACATGAATCCTTCACCAAATTTGTAGATAATGAAGTCTTCTATCCACCAAAACTTGAATGACATGATTTTATTCATCCAATTAAATGGTATGGATAAAATATTGAGAGGTATGCATCCTGAAATTCCACCAACAACATCTGACTTTATTGGTTGATTGAGTCTTGATCCTTTCATATTCTGGCCATGACGTCTTCATAACATTTTTACCTTATTGAGTTGATATTTACATGAAATTCGAATCAAGTGATTACGAATTCTCTACAATAAGATACTTGAATTATGGGAAGAACGTCATCCTCTTGGTCCAAAAAGCCGTTCATCGTGATGTTTTATGCTCTAGTTCTCATTCTGAAGGTATTTGTCCGATTTCTCTTTTTTTCTTCAACAAATACTTATAAATACTTATGTTAAACACACGTAAATATAATGGCTATCACTATTCCATCCCTTTTGATGATGGTATGATTGAGCTGTTGAATCCGGGTATGGGTCTTCACCAGGGAGACCCTTTATCTCCTTACCTGTTCTTAATTGTGGCAGAGGGCCTCAGTGCTTTACTTCGCATATACGAATCATTAGGCCAGTTCCATGGGGTTTCCATTGCTCGGGGGGCTCCTACGATTTCTCATCTATTTTTTTCAGATTACAGTTTGCTCTTTTTAGAGCATCTCATGATGAAGCTTCTTTGATTAAGGAGATTCTCGCTGATTACGAAAGCGCTTGTAATTAATTTCAATAAATTAAAAGTATTTTTTAGCACAAATGTCGATATGAATTGTCGGGAGGGTTTGATCGAACTTCTGGGAGTTGGGCTGGCTGGGGAGGATGAGAGATATTTGGGTTTACCCGCTCTGGTTGGGAGAAATAAGAATAACATTCTTGGTTATCTCAGGTAGAGACTACTCACCCGTATTAATAATTGGAATAATAAATTCTTATCTAAAGCGGGAAGGGAGGTGCTTTTAAAAGCAGTTATTCAGGCTATGCCTACGTATTCTATGAATGTTTTTCTTTTGCCTGTTGACCTGTGTCGGGAAATAGAAAACATTATGAATGGGTATTGGTGGAAGGGCAAAGCAGGAAAAGGGATACATTGGAAGGATTGGGCCTCTCTTTGTGTGCCCAAAACGATCGACAGGTGGTCTGGGTTTCAAAAGGCTCCGAGATTTTAATTTAGCTATGTTGTCAAAGCAAGCTTGGAGAATCTTTACGAATCCTGAATCGTTGGTGGGCCGAGTGTTTAAAGCGAGATATTTTCCAAAAGGAGATTTTCTCAAAGCAAAACCAGGGAGTAACCCTTCTTTTATCTGGCGTAGTCTTATTCATACTCAGAATATTATCAGGGAAGGCTACTACTGGAGAGTGGGAGATGGACATTCTATAATTATTTGGGAGGAGCCGTGGTTGTCGGATAGGGGAAATCCGAGGGTCATAACGAAGAAACTTGAAGGGTTAAATAATACTGTGGTGGTTAACTTATTTGTCACCAATCAGCAGGAGTGGGATTTGGTTGTTGTTGCTGACATTTTTGGGGCTAGAGATGCGGCTATTATCTCAGGTATACCTTTGAGTAGGGGCCCAACAAGGGACTCAACTCTTTGTGCTAGAGATGGGAGGAGAACGACATGTTTTCAGTGCGGAGTTGCTACCGAAACTTGATGGGGGAGTGTGGTGGGCAATCGGGATTCGAATGGATTGACATGTGGAAGTTCAAACTTCCACCTAAAATTAAAATGTTTTTTTGGCAGGTTTGTAGCAGTTGTCTTCCTTTAAGGCAAAATTTGCAGGTTCGAATAGTGGACTGTCCAGGGCAATGTGGGCTTTGTAACGAAGCTTTGGAATCTGCGGAGCATATATTTCCGGCGGTGTGCGATGGCCAGTGGCGGATGTCTTCTATGCAAAGGTGTTCACATGAACACCCAAAAATATAAAATCAATGGGAATATATATGCATGAATTAAAGTAATAGATCATTTATTAGTATTGTAAGGAGAAAATGTGTAACGTTGAACACCCAAAATATGTAAACTAGATCCGCCACTGGCTATGGCTCGTGATTTGTGGACGGAGCTTCGCTGGCAATGGAGTTCCGGGGATGGCAGCCCTTTTACTGAGCAGGTTAACGGGGAATTCCGGCGGAAGAGACAAGAAGACTTAGAGCTACTAATGTGGGGCTACTGGGCTCTTTGGAATGAACGCAACTTGGGAGTCTGGGAGGGGAAGAGATATTTGTTGGAAAAATGTGTTAAAAATTGCATTAAATGGTCATTTTGGGGCAATTATTTGAGTGGGGTCCACTTCCGATTTGGACCGGTTCAAAGTGGTTTCGGATTGTCCTTGTTAAGGGCTACAAATTGATATGTGGTACACTCAAAACGGATAACGGGTGAATGAGAAATTGATTCTCGAAGTTAACTCGTTGAAATGGAAAAACTGGGAAAATGATGGGTTTCTCGTGTGTTTTATCCCACACCGAAAAACTCAAGGGATTTTCACCCCCTTATAAAGGGAAGCCTCTTTTAAGGAGTTAAGATTCCTAAAGGTAAAGACTCTCTCTTACACGCAGGGGGGGTGCCGATCAAATCCCGAAACGGAGAAGAAAAACCGCGACTCGTGTGCGCGGGCGACCTGCGGACACGAATGTCGTCCGAAGACCTATCATTCAAATATAGGGTCTAATTTTTGGTTTTTCCCGTAACGTTTTGTTTTTCCCAGGACCAGAGTTGCTCGAACTCTGGTGGCTTCGTACCAGAGACGCTCCAACTCTGGTGGAGGTATTCTGGTAGCATCAGAGTTGCTCCAACTCTGGTGGAGGTATTCTGGTAGCATTAGAGTTGCTCCAACTCTGATGGGGGTATTCTGATCGCGCACCAGAACTGCTTCAAGCCGTTACAACCATTAAATGCTCAACGTTCTTGTCTTTTAATGCAGCGTTAAATGGACAGTTTATGGATGATTCAATGCCCAACGGTCTGGTCATTGATGTCCAACGTTCAGGTCCATTAACACCCCATTTAACACACAACAAATCCTCCTATAAAAGGCTGGCAGGTGCTTTGCAACAAACACACGGTTTGACAACACACAATACATTCCTGACGTTTTCTTGAGCTAAAAACACTTCCAGGTACTCCGAAATTTCCTAAGTGTTCATATTGTGTTCCAGTTCGCCGGAACTAACGTTTGTGTGCTCAAACGTTAGTTCGTTATCCACTGTATCCTGGGAAACGCTCGTTGCAACGCTCCTAGCACCGTGGGAGGCGACGAATACGTTTTAAGGACATCGTGCGTTGCACGAGCTCTGGCTAAAATCTGCTCCATCTTATTTTCTGTTTTCTTTTAGCTATTTTATTTATTAATTAAATTTATTTAATTAATATTTCTTCGTTTTTCTGAAACACACCCAACAATCTTCGCTGCAGCAGATTATCAGCAGGGCCAGATCTTCGGTTGATGGGTGGAAGCAGACGCAAGGAAGAGCTGAAGGAAGAAGACAACATGCTGGAGCAAGGAGCAGAGTCGTTTGGTGTAGACCTGGGCCGAGCGTCTGGAAATTAAACGTTGACGCGGCCACCGGGGTGCACAATGGCGGGATAGGTTGGGGCCTTCGGGACGAATAAGGTGATTTCATTGCAGGAGCGGCCAGAAAGTGGCCGAGAAGGTTGACACCGCTGATGGCAGAGATGGTCGGTATACGTGAGGCTTTGAGCTGGCTAACCTTTTTTCGTCTCGAAAACATGGTCATGCACCATGCAAAAATTCTGTTGCTCCGTATTAATTTTCCCCACTCATCCCCAAACCATCAACAAAAATGATGTTTGTACACACTCTTATACACACTTTTGTACACACCTATGTCTGTGAAAGCTTTTTTTTGTGTGTGAACATCGATTCATAGACAATGTTTTGCACAAACAAAATATTGTCTGTGAACTGGATTCACAGACAAAAAAAGTTTCACAAACATGGTGTATATAAGGTGTGTACAAGGGTGTGTACATCTAGCATGGTTGAACCATCAAATATCCACCAAATACGTCAATCCACAACTTCCCCACTAATTCCTTTTCCCCTCCCCATAATAATAGGGAAATTTACCCCACTATTACTAAAAGAGAGTGGATTTCCCATTCTATGACTTTAAAACTTAATTGATCAATATATGACCAAAAGTTAGTAACCGTGACTACAATAACTGAAAAATAAGCTAAATAATTTTTTTACCTAATGCATATGGAACGTGGGTAACATATCATTCTTCCATCAAATTAGGAAAAAAAGTGACTAAGTCATAGATCGGGAAAAAGATAATCTTTTAGTTTTATTAGAATTAATTTTCTCATAATAATACACAATCCACACACGTGCATTCCACTAACCCATCTCACCTAATTTCCATTCCTCCAGGTCCTCCTAATAATAACTCCCAACATCGTTTCAAAAAACTCCCAACATCTACGTTACGCAAAATGTCTCCCGTCCCAGAAGAATCATCATCCGCCTCCGCCAGCGGCAAGCAAGAAGATATTCCCGCCGACGAAAAGAAAGAAGCCAGTCCACGCGCCGCGGGGCCGAGACGTCCACATATCTCATGGTCCGATTCATATACCAAAGCCAACGCCGCCATTGAAGCTCTCTCCTCCATCGTCTCTCACGTCCCAACATCCCTATCCTCTTCCGAGACGCCGGCCCTCTCCCTCCTCCACGACCCCGAAATCGCCGTCCAAATCTCCGACCTCCTCCGGCAACCAGGCTCCAGCGCCGGCGATAACCATCTCTGCCGGTGGCTTTACGACACGTTCCACTCCTCCGGCGAGCCTGATCTCCACCTGGTGGTCCTCCGCTTCCTCCCCATCATCTCCGGCGTGTACCTCTCCCGGATCGCCCTCCACCAGCCGCTCGCCGGCTTCGAGGCCATCCTGTTAACCCTCTACGCCCAGGAAACGGTGAGCCGGAACGGAAACGCCGTCACAGTTACGATCCCGGATCTCTCGCATTCAAGCATTTACCACGAAACCAAACAGGCTGCGAAGGCCAGCGCCACCGAGCTGGCGTTGGCCGTCATATCGCCGAGTCTGGAGCCGTGTGGCAGCGTCCGGTCGACGAAGCGGGCGAGAATTGTCGGGGTGGCGTTGGAGTTATTCTACAGCAAAATCTCACAAATGCCCCTTCAATCCAAGCTGGACTTTTGCGAGTTCTGTAAAGCATGGGCGGGCGGGAATAAGGATAGTGGTGAGAGTAATGTTGAAAAGAGAGATGAGAGGAGGGTAAACCTGTCAAGGGAGATATTGCAGCCAGCGTTGAGGATATTAGGGCATTGTTTGATGGGGACTGAGAAGAGCGTGGAGCTGAAGACGGCCGCGCGTGAGGCGTGTAGGTGTCTGTACGATAGAGCTTTGCATGACATCAGCCCTAAGGATATTCTTGCAACCGAGAGTCTTCTTAAGCTGGCATCATCATCTCTTTATAATAGAGAAGTTGATTACACTGAGATAAAATTCACCAATAAGATCACTCTTTAGATTCTCTCTTGCTTTTTTTTTTAATTTAAGGTATGAACCTCATTCTCAAACTCCAAAACCTGTTGGAATGTGTAAAGTGTAGTAACTAGTAAGTAACAACATATCGACAGGCTTAATTAAGAGTGTTTATTCCTTTTCAAATACTATCGTACGTAGTAAGACTTGATTTTCATGGGCGTGTGTTGGAAATATTACAGGTAGAGGCTAAGTATTTTAGGACGTTATGAAGATAATTGTGGAAGTAGGAAAAGCTTTTAGCTAACTAGAAGAGGATGGAAGAAGAGAGAACTTGTATTTTATTGCTTGAAGATTTCTTAGCTTGATGCATGATTACAAATGAGCACAACAACACATATTTATACTACTTACATCCTCAATAAATGGTGGAGAGTTCTCTAGAATACTCTATTATTAATTATTCTCTAGAATGTCTCTAGAAGTCTCACACTCTAGAAACTTTCTAGAACATTTCTCCTCTAGAACACTCCTTATTATTTTGGGCTTTGCCCATTACAACAAACATCAATTATTAACTTAGCCCAAAATCAAGTTTACATTCTAACATCCCCCCTTAAACTTGATTTCCAACTCCGAGCATTCTTCTCAATCGCTTGAAGTGTTCATGCTTGAGAGGTTTTGTAAGAATATCCGCAACTTGATCTTGCGACCTCACATACTTCACTTGGACCTCTTTGTTCTCGACACATTCACGAATAAAATGGTAGCGAGTATCAATATGTTTGGTTCGGTCATGATAGACGGGATTTTTTGCAAGTGCAATGGCCGACTTGTTATCAAGATAAATCTCGGTTGCATCTTCTTGCGGCATGTGAATTTCCTTCAACAATCTTCGAAGCCAAATGATGTGACATACACATGACGTAGCGGCAACATATTCAGCTTCACAAGTCGAAAGTGTCATAATTGGTTGTTTCTTTGAAGACCATGTGAAAGGCATATCCCCCATGTAAAGTACAAACCCGGTTGTACTCTTACGGTCATCAATATCTCCGCCCCAATCGCTATCACTATGACCAAACAACTTATATTCTTTAGAAGATGAGTAAGTCAATCCAAAGCTAATCGTACCTTTTAGGTAGCGTAGAATCCTTTTGGCGGCCTTCATATGGATAGATGTTGGAGCTTCCATATAGCGGCTAATAAGTCTCACTCCAAAAAGATTATCGGGCCTCGTACATGTTAAGTAGCGCAAGCTCCCAACCAAACTTTTGAACATAGTCGGATCTACTTTATCTCCTTCATCAAACTTGGAGAATTTTGTCCCATAATCGACTGGTGTGTCAATCGGCTTGCACCCAACCATCTTAAATTTCTTAAGAATTTTTCTTGCATAACCTTCTTGGGAAATAGATATTCCTCTATCACTTTGATTGACTTCAATTCCGAGGTAGTATGACATAAGTCTCATATCCGTCATCTCAAATTCACGACTCATTTCTTTCTTGAAAGCATCAAACATACTTGGATTGTTACCCGTGAATATCAAATCATCCACATATAAGCACACAATCAAAATATCCCCATCTTCATTTGTTTTTACATAAAGGGCATATTCATAAGGGCACCTTAGAAAACCATTTTCTTGGAAGTACTTGTCTATTCTAGTATTCCAAGCTCTTGGGGCTTGTTTTAATCCATAAAGTGCCTTCTTTAATTTTAAAACTTTATTTTCTTGCCCTTTAATTATATAACCTGGGGGTTGTTCCAAATAGACTTCTTCTTCCAAATAACCATTTAAGAAAGCCGATTTTACGTCCATTTGGTATAATCTCCAATTATTTTGAGCCGTAATTGAAATAATTAATCTTATAGTTTCTAAGCGGACAACGGGAGCAAATACCTCGTCATAGTCAATACCGGCCCTTTGCTTGTACCCTTTCGCCACCAACCTTGCCTTGTATCTTTCAATTTCTCCTTTGGCATTTTTCTTTGCTTTGTATACCCATTTAGTGTCAATAGCCTTGTGCCCCTTTGGTAGCGTAGCTAACTCCCAAGTATCATTCTTCATGATTGACTTCATCTCCTCGTCCATAGCATTTTTCCACTTCTTGTCTTCTAGCGCCTCTTGAACACCTATTGGTTCACAATCATTAAGAAGACAAACAAGAGTTATTTCATCCAAATTTTGTGTTACCTCATATATCTCTTGTAAGCTTCTATAACGGGGAGTTCTTTCATTTGAGCCTTCCTCGGTGGTTGATGGACTTCCTTGGATGGATGGTGAATGAGGTGGAGTGTTTGGTTCTTGAGCCGCTTGATCATCATGCTCCTCTTGTTCTTCATTTTCTTCAAAGAGCGGGAAGAAGTTGTAATTCTCATCTTCTTGAACACTCCAATCCCAAGAGGCTTCTTCATCAAATCGAAGATCTCGGCTCACAATGATTTTCTTTGTGACTGGATTATATAGCTTATATCCCTTCGAGTGTTTATCGTATCCAATAAACACAAACTTCTCACTTTTATCATCAAGCTTTGAACGTTTTTGATCCGGCACATGAGAATATGCTATACTTCCAAACACTCGAAGGTGAGAAACATTTGGTTTCTTCTTCCGCCATGCTTCTTGAGGTGTCTTGTTGTCAAGACTTTTAGTTGGACAACGATTTAAAATATACACAGCACAATCAACCGCTTCGGCCCAAAATTCTTTCGGCATATTCTTGCTTTTTAGCATGCTTCTAGCCATCTCAAGAATAGTTCTATTTTTCCTTTCAACCACGCCATTTTGTTGTGGTGAATATGGAACCGTTAAAGGACGACGAATCCCATTATTTTCACAAAATTCATTAAATTCATTTGATGTAAATTCACCTCCTCTATCGGATCTCATGGCTTGTATTTCATGCCGAACTTCCTTTTCTACAAAGGCCTTAAATTTTTTAAATGACCCAAAGACTTCCGACTTTTCTTTTAGAAAATAGACCCAAGTTTTTCTAGAATAATCATCAATGAAAAGAAGAAAATAATTATTCTTTCCATATGAACTTGGTTTAATGGGTCCACAAACATCGGCATGAATTAATTCCAAGGGCCTCTTAGCTCTAAAATTTGATTCTTTTGGAAAACCTTTTCTTGCATGTTTTCCTAAAAGACACCCCTCACACAATTGATTTGGATGATTTATGATTGGCATCCCATCAACCATTTTGGTTCTTGATAATAAATTTAAGCCACCAAAGTTCAAGTGCCCAAACCTTAAATGCCATAACCACGAATCATCTTTTAAACATGAATGTAAGCATTTTGCTTCATCATTTTGAATCTCCAATAAAAACATTCTATTTTTCGTCATTGGCACTTTGGTTATTAATCTTCCTTCACTTCTTAGAAAAAGATTATTATCTTTTAGATTGATGTCATAACCTTTTTCTAGAAGTTGCCCCAAACTCAAAATATTATTTTTTAGATTGGGCACATAATAAACATCGGAAATAAATTGGTGACTACCATCTTTTAGACGGATTAAGATATTACCTCTTCCTTCCACCGACACCTTTGACTTGTCTCCAAATGTGACTTTTCCATTGGCTTGTTTAATTTCCGTGAACATGGTTTTATCACCGGTCATGTGGTTGCTAGCCCCGATATCTAACACCCACATACTCTTTCTTTCTTTTTCTTTAAGATCATGTGCCATCAATAAGGTAAGATCGACTTCATCCTTGACTTGGTTAAACTTTTCTTCCACTTCACAGTAATTTGCCTTGCAATCGGAAGCGAAATGACCAAATTTATCACAATTATAGCATCTAACTTGTGATTTCTCATACCTTTGGTATCCGCCTCTTCCACGACCTCTTGTCGGCTTGAAGTGTTGTTTTTTCTCTTCTTCGTGTTCTTGGTGATTTTCACCATGTCCTCTTCCTCGGCCTCGACCTCGTCCACGACCCCTAGCTCGCCCTCTTTGACCATCACCTCTTTTGAATGAAAGTTGTGTATAAAGTGCTTGCTCCAACGGATATTGCACTTTCTTCTTTTTCATTTTTTCTTCATGGGACACTAGTGATCCGTTAAGTTGGTCTATAGTCATCGAGTCTATATCATGTGATTCCTCAATAGCTACTACCACATGCTCAAAATTTGGAGTTAAAGAGCGAAGAATTTTTTCTACCACTCTTGTATCTTCCAAATTTTCTCCATTCCTCCTTAGTTCATCTACTACCTTCTCAACTCTATCAAAATAATCAGAAATAGACTCGGATTCCTTCATTTGAAGAGACTCAAACTCACCTCTAAGTGTTTGGAGACGAACATGTTTTACCTTATCGACTCCACGATATGTATTTTGAAGAATCTCCCAAACTTGCTTCGAAGTAGTTGCATTTGCAACCTTCACAAGTTGATTGTCATCCAAACATTGATGAATGAGAGTCATTGCCTTTTGATCCTTCTCCCGAGCCTTCTCTAATGCGTCCTTTTGGAGTGCACTAAGAGTACTTTCATCCTCCGGTTCAACGTAGCCATTCAGCACCAAATCCCACACCTTTTGTGAACCTAATATTGCCTTCATTCGGATGCACCAAGTACTATAGTTGTCTTTGGTTAGGCGAGGGAATTGAAAGGATTGCATCCCGTTAGCTATGGCTCTGATACCAATTTGTTGGAATATTACAGGTAGAGGCTAAGTATTTTAGGACGTTATGAAGATAATTGTGGAAGTAGGTGATAGGCACTAGTTGTTAGTGCCTAAGTATATATTTTTATTATTGTTTGTAATGTTTATTTACTAGTTTTGTGTAAGTTTATAGTTGCTAGTTTGCATTTGATTGTAATCGTATTTTTAGCATTTTATTGTTTGTTGTAAGTTGTAATTAGTTGAGCTATAAGTTTAGGATAGGTTTGGAAGCAAGAAGGGTGGAAAAACCTGAGTTTTATTCAAAACCCGGTCGGGTATGGACTTTACCCGGCCGGGTATGAAGTGACAAAGGAAATTGCTACAAAATTAGCAAATACCCAGTCGGGTATTCCCTATACCCGGTCGGGTATGAAGTGATTTCGGGCAAACGAATGTGCAAAAGAACACAAGAACATGGGAAAAAGATTTGAT